ATTAAAAAATATTAAAATTTATATTATAAATGCTTGCAATCATTAAAAATGTATATGTTTGTTTTACAAATATTATTTGAAATAAGTATTGGCCTACGAATTATTTTATGGTAAAAAATATTATGGAATGTTTTTTTACAAAATTAGTTTTGAAAAATGTTATATGTTTCTATCAAATGTTTTATAAAAATCCGTTCAAAAGTTTAACATATGATATGTGACGTTTCAATTTGTTTGTTTGGTGTGGTTATGATCTGAACCACACCAATGGGGGTAAAATGTTAGAAACCGACTTCTTCTAAGTTCTGGACATTGTCACGGGGATATAGAATAGTCATAGCTGTCATTACAAAAAAAATATATATTTTTATATATGACCTTAGCTATTTATATATTACTTTGAAAAAAATATTATTTGAAAGTTATTCTATTTTAAGCAAATCATTTGCACGGTATATAAATCTCAGTTTTGATTAGCTTATGTTATGATTTCTTTATATAAATTTTTTTTTCTATGTAGTTATTTATTTGAAACAAGCACTAATTGAAAGGTGACTTATAAGTTTTGATAAAAAAGATTTAGTTTTGTTGGTACGTGAGTTATGGGTGCTTACTAAGCTATTGTACCCTTGTTTCTTGAATTTTTTAGAAATCGAGGAGCAAGTCATTAGTAGACATGCTTGGAAATACTTATTAAGGTATTTAATTTTTTATTATTATGTTAATATGCATACTATGAATATGTAATATGAATGTTAGACTTTTATTCAATTGTGTAAATTTGGGATGATAAATGAATTGTATAGTTTTGGCATTGCTTCTCTCTTAGGGAAGCGTACGGAGATTGCGAGGTTATACCGCTCCACAACTTTTCGCTAGGCTGAAAGCCTTACAGAAAGGTTTGATCTGTGTGTTTTCTTGTTGAGTTTCTGCTACTTGCAGAGTTCTTTTGTTAACATGAACCATAAATTCTATCTATGTTGCTGTTGTTGCAGATTTGGGTTTGTCAATCTTGAAGCAACTCATTAGGCCAGTTTCGTGTAAACAAACCCGGACCCGATCCCTTAGGCTGGTTCGAATCAACCTAAGATATCTTCATCGAGATGAAGTTGTATGTATAAATAACAAAACAA